GCAGAACTGCACTTTCTGTGTCTGAGGTGTCTGAGGCCTCTCTTAGAGCAACCTCCCTCTCTCCTCCAGTAGTGCTAAGTCGTACTTTCATTTCAGCACCGTGGTTGTTGAGCTTCCCTGTTAGGACAGGTGCCACCACTGAGAAAGGATGGTGCCAGAGAGCCTCCCACTGGATAACTGAATTTTTGATGACTGCCACTAGGTCAATGTTGTAATAGTTCTGACAGAGGAATTTAGGTATAAATGCCTGAGAGTCTGAAGGCATACTCCATTTGAATTTAATTTAATAAAAAATTTTAAACTGTGATTGAAAATAAAGGTTATTTAATTTAAAATATTTCTGACTATAAAATATATAATACAGTTTTGTTGGAAACAGATATCTTGGGCTGCGGATTTAGCTCAGTGGTGCAACAGCCTACCTCACAGGCTCAAGTTCCCAAGTTTGATTCCCCCCAAAAAATAATAAAATAAAAATAAAAATGTTAAGAAATTTCACTGTATATAGACTTTTTAAATTTTTTAGTGTACCTTTCCATAGTTACAGTTTTATATGTATATATACCTATGTGTATGTGTTTGTAGTCTTATACCTCATGTAATGTTTTGGTCAATGATGGACCACATGTACAACAGCACTTGTCTCATAAGATTATATCACCTAGTCATGTAGTTGTCTTAATTTGTATGAGTGCACTCTGCATGTATGATGGTCACACAATGATGGAGTCACCCAATGACACTGAAGCCTTTCCTGGACTGTATCCTGTCATTAAGTGACTCATGACTGTATATATATGTATATGTGTGTATGTATACATACAGTTATATCTACTGCCTACAACTATACTTATGCACGTACACACATATATAATTGAGAGTGAGAGAGAGGAAGACAGACAGGTGGACAGATTCCAAACAAAGCAAAAGAGAAAGAGGTGAGCAGGAAAATTTCTCTGAGGCCTCCAGTATAGTTATAGGGGTTTAATTAGGTCTCTTTGATCTTTTTCATGGAGAATTTTGTGAAGGACTCCAAGGTTCTTCATTGGGAAATCTCTCCATTTTTCTAATACTTATATCCCTCAGTAAAATTCTGTTATTTTTTGATGCAGCGGTTCCACACATTTCTTGTTGGAGCTAATACTATTATATGTGTTTTTCTTTAATATTATGAATGTTAACATTTGTTTTATTACATTTTCCTGGAACATTTCTAATTCCTATGGCATGTTAGACTTTTCATCTCTAGGCTTAAAATTCTCTTCTGCTTATAAGATTTTTGCTCTGTACAGAGATTTTCTCAAAATGAAACATTTGCTGAAAATACTTAACAAAAATGTCATTGCCTCTGTTAACTGAGAAGTTTTGAAAACTCAGCTTATTTCTAAATGTGAATAGCATGCCAAAATTCTCTTTCTGTTCACTAAACTTTGTGCATCAACTCTTACATCTGTGGCTATTGTTTTTATTATTCTTTAGTGGAGACATATATGTGACCCTTGGGAGGATTAAAGAAATACTAAATCAACCCAAAACGAAAACAAAATAATAAATGGGATGGGGAATTGTTCATTCCTGGTCCCATTCTTCTTTCTTTTTCCTTCAGTCTTACATCTGCAAAATGGGATGACAGAACTATCCCATAGGGAAAGCCACAAATGGGTACCTTGGGTATCAGCTATCTCTTGCCAAACTGTACAATGTTTTCCAATTTGCAAGGGCTGTGATATACAGCGTTTTTGGGTTTACTTGACAAGAAATGGTGCAGATTTTCCGTGTCAGCAAATATAACTTGAGTACTTTGTTAATCTTCCAGTCACATACTCAGGCTATTGTCAGTTTCATGCTATTATAAACAGGGCTGTGCTATTTTTGTACCTGTATCTTTACACACACACACATACACACATACACACACATGCACGCACACACACACACACACACACACACACACATATATATGTGGAATTACTGAGTCAGAGGGCATGCTTTTTTCAGACTTTTAAAAAACAAATTGCCTAGCCTTCAGTGTGTGCATTGACAAAGCCCATACCTTGTGATTTCTTGAAGTTCTTTCTAGTTATATTATTCTATAATTCTCTTATTCTAGTACACAAATATCAATGATTCTTATAGGATGCGTGTAAAGTGCAATAAATCTATAAGTTGTTTATGACCTATGTCCAATAACCCTGGCTAGTATAGACCTTTTGAAAACCAAACAAAGCCATTTGCTTTATTAACTCTACGCAAAGAAATAATATCTTTTCATATTTATGACCCACCTGAATAGACTCATATTAGCCTAAAAGTCAATGTATTTTTTAGACATTAAAAGTTAAGTAAGATATTCCTATGACTGCTATTAATCATCAGCCATAAATGTATTATCTTCATGTCTTTAGATCTAAGAAGTCTTTTATCTATAAATTCATCCTACATAGCTATTTTATTTGGAAGAGAACATATGACAAATGATTTATTGTTCCTGAAACAAAGCAATATCATTCTAAAATATAAGGAAAGAGCAAAATAGTAACAAATTTAATGATATTTTTGAATTTTGTCTTATTTGATTCCTCAACACTGCTCCAATCTATTATACTTTGCTGTATTCCATTTTTATAGTCATATATTTAATGACAAAAAGTGTTTGAAATGTTGCATATGTGCTCAGACATGACAGGTACTACATTTAATGCCCTCATGCTGTAAGAAGTTATGAAATACAAACTCACTATAATGAAACCAACATAGTGCTTCTGAAGACTTCACGTTCAGCACTCACCACACTGTACCTTTTCTGTGCTAGCTGTGCTGGCTCCGGAGATAATGCAGGGAAGCAGACAGACCTTCTCTATCCTCACAGGACTTGCAGTTAAAAAACCCACTGATGGAAATAAGGACAGAAGCAAATGCCCAGGCCTTTACGTGATCTTCTGTCTTCCCTTGCTGTCTCGGTGTTAAACAAACCCTCTTTGTGTCATTTCCTTTCTGAACAATGAAAGCAATACTGGCCTTAACTTTTGAGGAAAAGCTCATAAAGTTGATTTATCAAATTAAATCATAATCTAAAAACACCTCATTTTTTCACAGCAGAAAATAACAAAAAAGTAGTGTGAATAAAAACATACCTAATTTTAATTTATACCAACTTTTGCTAAAGTTGTGCTGAATGGCCTCCCAAAAGTCCATGCATTAAAGGCTTAGTCCCTAGGGTGGTGCTACTGGGTGGCAATTCAGACTTTACAGGTGGAGCCTTGGTGGAGATCCTCAGGTTACTGGAGTGCCTTCAAAGAGGATTATGCCAGCCTCCTCTTCGTTCTCTTTTTCGGCTCCTGGCCATGAGTTGAGCAGTCTGCTCTATGGTATATTCCCCACAATTGCTGTCTGGCTTACTTGCCAAAGATGCAAAGTTTCGGGTTTGCCTGGTCTTGGACTGGAACCTCCCAAACTATAAAGCAAAATAAAATATTTTTCTTTTTACATTGTCTCGAGTATTTTATTATAGTTACTGAAGGCTGACTAATACAACTGTGTTCTTAGCTTTGCTCTGAGTGGTTAATACTTGCCCCACTTTTTACTAGAAATTCTCTTAAAAAGCTTGGCTGTTGGCACGACAAGACTATCATGGATCCTAGGAGGTCAGCATAGACCTGCTTGGCATGCTGGTCTTGGCTAAAACCATGAATGGAGAGCCACCAGCCATTCATATCTTCTCCCTGGATAGTCAGGCACCTCCTTGCAACCCTGTGTATCCAATGTCTCACATTCATGCTGCTCTTTCCTTATTATAAGTTTTTCAGAAACTGGTTACTACACATAGAGTAATAAAATTGAATATTAGGAGAAACCAAAAGGATGAATTTAGTAGAAAACAGGTTTAAATGAAAGAAATTAATTAAATAGTCACCTTCTGCATAGGTCAATAAGCATATAGAATATTCCTGGGCAGGAGAAAAGTCCAAGTGTAAAGTGATTCAAGAACAAAAAAGAGAAAACTATTGTTTAACATTTCTGGGGTATGTGCTCAGCATCAGGAGCAGAGCAAGAGCCCAGGCTTTGGGTAACAGACAGAACACACCTGGTGTGTCATTCAGCTTTCTGTCACTATCATGAAATACCCAAGATAATCAACTCCTAAAGTTTATTTTGGCTCATAGTTTTGGAGGTCCCAGTCCTCGGTCAGTTGGCCCTGTTACTGTGGGCCTGTGGTAAGGCAGCACATCATGGCAGGAGCACATGGTGAAACAAAGACCCTTGTATCAGTAAGAAATCAAAAGGAAGAGTTTGGACAGGCCAGCATCCCCAAATTCATGATGGCAAGGACCTGAAGATTTCTCATAAGGCCCTACCTCCCAAAGATATCAAGGTCCCTAACAGCACTGCCCTGGGGCTCAAGCCCTTAACTAATATTTGGGAGATATGTAAGATTCTACCTATAGCACCTGTGTTCAAAATCTTTCAAGGTCTCAGTGTCTTCCACTACATAACTGAGATAATATCTATTTTATAAGATGATATCTGATATAACATATTATCATTTATCATGAGGTTTAAAAATGATAATATGTGTAAAGTAGATGGACGGTCAGTACTGGCTATGATCAGATTGCAAAGGTGCTTATGAATTCTGCATATGAGCACTTTTTGCATCCCTTTGCTATCTGCCAATTAGGTACAACAGGATTTTGGAGCTATGTCTGAGCTCCAGTAATTTATAATACTAATGGGAACACATGGAGAGGGAAGAGCAATTAATTTTTGAAAAAATACTTCAGCTATTTGCCTAGTGTAAAATCTTGGGTTCCTTAGTTTATATTATAATCACTCATGACCCTTCCTTCTATGTTAATTTATTCATCACTTATGAACTGCAAACATATTGTAAGCCAAATATTTTTCTTTAGGAAATGTATTTTCAAAATTAATTATTTTTCTCAACTATTTTTACTAGAAAACTGATAAAAACAAAACAACATAACTTTTGCAGAAAGCACTGAAATGTGGGACATTTCATGAGTTTTCATGTCATCCTTGCACAAGGGCCATGCCAATATTCTCTGTATCATTCCAATTTTACTATATATAGTGCCAAAATGAGCAAAGGAGATTTAAGTGTAAAATCTGGGGCACATTCCTACGGAATTCTGAGGCAGAAGATCTTTGGCAGGCCCCTGAGAATTTACATTTTTTTAAGACGCTCTAGGCGAAGTGGCTGGGGCAGTCTTTGAGAAATATGCCTTGAGAGAGCTTGCTTTGATGTCCACTTTGAGAACCCCTGTTTGGTCATCTGGTAATGCAAAGGAAAAATGGCACTTCTTTCAGAAGTAGAAAGATTTAAGACAATGAACAACTAACTTTATTGGCAAAGTAAAGTAGAATGTCATTTTTATTGTGAAGTGAAATCTTGGCAGTGTGTTTCTTTATGGAAACATTCCTTTGTACTTAATACAGATTTAGATTAATATGAATTTAGCGATCCTTTACTTCCCAATATACCGAATATATATTTCTGCCAGAAGAGCTGGAGCAAGGTGTCCAGATTCTCTTTTTGGGTAGGAAGACAGCACAGGGTGGACCCGGGAATGCCATAGCCCAGCACACGTAGTTCTGTGGATGGCTCCTTCTTAGAGTTGTTTCAGATCAAATATTCCCACATGTGGAGAAGGTTCCAGTGTCTGGTTGAATTCTGATGCACTATCATTTTAGTGATGGAGGTGGGTCTTTCTGAAGGTAAGAGTTTCTTAGATGGTCAACCATCTAGAAAGTAGGAGATCTTACACTGCAAAATCTTCATTCAAGCGTCGGCTGGAGCTTGGGTTCTGGGAGAAGTGGTCCCATAGAGATCTTGTTGGGGAAGGCATTGGCTACTTCAAAGTGGTGGACACAAGCCAGAGACTAAGGAGATGGGGCTAATAGTTCATGCCTTCTGGAGGGGTTCTTTTCATGATTGTATAGGCAATTACATCCATCTGGAATTGAAGATCTTTGATGTTAGTTGGCCTTCTTACTTTTCTCATTGTTGAAACAAAATACACAACACCTAGAGTTAAAGGGGAAAGGGTTTATTTAGCTCACAGTTTGTAGAGATTTCAGTCCATAACTGGCTATCTCCAAGGTAGGGTGGCACATAACAGAGCAGCAACAGTTCATGGAGGCAGAAGGCAGCAAAAGCAACAAGAGACCTTAACAGTGTCTTTCTGCTCCTTTTTTCTCATCCAGACTACGGGATTAAGGTGGTGCCAAACCAATCACTTACATGTGGTGGTTTAGTAATCATATGCCCTTAATCCCAGCATCACACACTCTAGATTCAGCCACCTCTGAAAAAGTAAGCCCCATATGAAGCCATGGGACTTTGGGGGGACATCTAAGCACAAGCCATACCAATAAATGTCCTATGTTCATGGGTATTCTTTCTAACTTTAACTTCTGAAGTCTGTAGGGAATGAACTAGTGTCCAAAATTGAATTGGGTTGCATGAAGAAGGCTGCACAATGGTTGCTTTCCCTCTGAGCACCTTCAGAGATCTACTTGGGAAGGTCTGAGTACTTAATCCATCTTGAAACTAAGACTGATGATCTGTTAGTCGCCCCTTGTTAATTTGGGCTCACTCGGTACACATTTTTATTAATGCTCTGTTGAACTTACATGTGCAGCTTGAACTCTAAACTATGATGAAAGAAATTCAGCTCTTTGCAGCTAAAAACATTGGCTTCTACTGGAAGCATACATAGAAACCACCTAATCACTTTTGATGAAAATGAGAATTGTTTATAATTAACAATGGTTGTTTTGGCATCCAAAACCAGCAGTCTCTTTGCTCTTTTTAATCATGCTCGCATCACTTAACATCTTATTTTAATTTAGGAAAAATTTCTTCCCATTTTGGAACTAATATGTACACTCCTAAGAAGAATCTGAAAAATAAAAATAAAGAGTAGGGAAAAAATTTAATAGTCTGACTTACACTGCGATATATTTTTTCTTTTAATGCATTCAGTTTTACATAGTTGCAATTACATGTTATACATAAAATTGCATATGCTAGTTTCTTATACAATTTGCTTTAAAAATCTGTTAACCATATGAAGCTGCAAAATTATCTCGTAGAAATTCATTCCCCAGAGAAACTATCCTTTCCTTTAATACTTTGGTACATTTCTTTCTCATTCCCTCTCCTCCACCCTCTTCTCACCCCTCTCCTCCACTCCAAATATGCTGGATTAAAGTTTTGTTGACACAGGAACACATGTATATCCCATTAGAAAGACAATATGGAGAAGCTCAGTGAAAGATCATATGTGCTACTGAGGGATCAGAAGTCTTTCCCAGTGAAACCTCAGTGATTCATGACTCTACGACTTTCAAAGGTGCAGCACACCATTATTAGTGTTCCAGGGCAGAAAAAAAAAAAGGTGGTGTATTATGCACAGTGCATTGAACTGCACTATATCATCCTGTTTTTGTGCAGGGAGAATACCTTTGAAAAATAATTTTTCTGGTTCAGTTTCTTAGCAGAGTGACTGGTGTAGCTATTAATAGCAAGTGCTGGAAGAGAACACTATTCATTACTGTTTTAAGTGGCCATTAAGCATGAAAAAGATTTCCTTCGAACAGAGAGTAGAAGGATGTGGCTCAACAAGCCCATTTCCTGGCACTGGGAAGTAGAGAGAATTGCTGAGAAGACGCTGAGATGAAGGGAACACAGTAGGGCCATGCTTTGCTCCCCACCCAAGCTCCCATTGGGAGAACTTGATTTCAGCTCCCAAATGGAGTAGCTTTGATTTTCTCGATAACACAGGCAAGATTTGCTTCTTTGTGGCCTCACAGGATTTTCTTTGTCTTGTTTTGCTGGATTGTATCACATCTGGGTCTTTGTCACTCTTCATGGAAGGTGCATGAAAAAGTTGGGATTTTCCTGTTCCTATGACAGCACTTTCTTGTGATGGCCACAACATCCATGGTAAATATTCTATTATTGCCAACTGGTCCAGGGTTTTCTTGGTACCATTTTGGTGGAAATCAAAAATTGGCAAAGTACAGCTCTGGGCATTGAGTTCCAGTGGCTCTCAAATCTTAGTGCTAATCTTATGGCAGTTTTTAGCCCCCTCTATCAGCTCAGCTTTTGTGTCTTATTAAGGCTCTCTACAGGTCTCGGTTAGTTTCTGCTCCAAGCTACTGATTTCTGCTTGTAGATGCTGTCAGTTAAAACTTGTGCTTTCATTAGTCAGTGCTGATGGTGGGCATTAATTGATGCTGCTAATGGTCACTGTTAGTCACCACTAGTTGATGCTGCCAATTTCTGGAGCTCTTTAAGGGTCACTTTTTAACATGACTGCTCTGTCCACACTACCCAAGGTAAGGGTCCAGAGTAGATTTATAGGTCTTTCCAGCCCCTGCTGCCCAAAAAGTGAATCACAGGCAGATTTATAAGACCACTGGAGGAAGGCTTTGTTTTGAATTTATGCTGTAGCACAGAGGGAGCCCTGCTAGATTAACCCAAGGAGTATGAAGTTGTGCTGCTTATATAGAGGATAGAGGGGGCAGAATCATCTGGGACTGGTCCAAATTTCAAGCCTTGACAGGGTAGAGCCTTCAGGGATTGGCTACAGAGTGATGTCAGCTGGGACTAGTCAAAGTCTCAAGCTTACTGTGGCAGAGCTATCTGGACATCACAGGGGGGAGTCATCAGGAATTGCCACAGGGCAGACCCATCTGGGACTGGTTCATGCTCCAAGCCTCCTGTGGCCAAGGCAGACATCTCTTGAAACTCCTGGGCATCTGCAACAGCTGCAACTGTAGCTGTCGGTCAGAGCATGGCCCATTCTAGCTGTTAGAAGAAAAAGGAATGGTGATCTGTTTCTTCTTTGTCTCACCATTCCATTCCCAATTTTCTCTGCTCCCAACTGTTTTCTCAGAGTGTCATCATGTTAGTTAGCTGTGCATTGCTGTGACAAACACTTGAGAAAGTTACCTTAATGGATGAAAGGTTTATTTTGGCTCAAACGTTCAGAGGTTTCAATCCTTGGTCAGCTGGCTCTATTGTTTTAGGCCCTGGAGAGGCAGAGGAAAGCTATTCACTTCATGGCAGTGAGAAAGGAAAGAGAGAGAGGGAGGGAGGGAGGGGGGAGAGAGAGGGAGAGAATGGGAGAGGGAGAGAGAGAGGGAGAAGAAGAAGAGGAAGAAAGAAGGAGGAGGAGGAGAGGAGGAGGAAGAGAAAGATCAAGTGCAAGAGGAAGGAGGAGGAGAAGAAGGAGAGGGAGAGGAGGAAGAAGAAGAAGCAAAAGGAGAATAAGAAGGACTAGGGAGAGAGAGAGGAAGACTGACTTTCCAAGGTCACAGTCCCATGATCCACACCCCAACTTCCCAATAATCCATTCAGTTAATAGATTAATCCATGGAGAAGGTTAATACCTTCATGATCCAGTCACTTCCCGGAAGCCCATCACTTGGCCTTTGGACATATTTTAAATGTAAAGTATAACAAACAATTAATTTCTAAATGGATATAAGACTAGCTGATGTTCTGCTTAAAAGTCTGCTTCACAAGAGCAGTGTGAATTGTGTTCATTTCTGTATCAGAGCCATGGCTACCTGAAAATGCAGAAGTCATGTAGTAGGATGGAGTTTCTATTTTTTCTGGTTGGCCTAGGATTCATATTTCTATCCAGACTTGGATTTGGGGGCAAAGCTAGGAGTGAAAGGGTGACTGACTTCCTGCCTGGATGACGATCTCTTTTTCTGGAGTCAAGAATTGGGAAGATTGAGATTCTGGTGGTGGGTTAATGATTCTTGCTTTCACTATTGTGGATTTTTTCTTGGGAGCCTTCATATCAATCTTAATACCACACTAGGCACTATTGTTTCAGGGTTCTCATCCAGATTTGGCTTTTCAAATGGGCATGTATCTATACCTTTAATTTATTTGACATACACTTCACAGGGAATGGAAAGGTAAAATATGAGGAACTCGATTCATCCCCCAGAAGACAAGCAAGAGACAGAAGGTCTCAGTCATATTTGTAGTATAGAATATTTGAAAGAGTGCTTTGTTATTGCTTCCAAATGCGTACAAATACATTTTAGTAATTTATATTCACC